GCATTGTGAAAAACTCTAAAAAAATGGTTGATGAATCAAAAAGGTATTTGCAATCAATTGAAATTGCGTTTGGAAAGATATTATTAATTTTATAATAAAAATATAAATATTGTGATCATATCTTGAAGTTATTTGTAATCATTGGTACTATTTTATTTTCGCTATTTTATGATACTGTATGTACATTTTTAAATTTGTTTCTGTTTTAAAAATAAAAATTTAAATACAGTTATTTTTAATAATTAATCACTTTTTTTGTTATTAGCGCATCTTATATATTGTAAACGTGAGTAAGAGTTGCTGTGTATTTTGTTCAAAAAAAAAAAAATTAAATTATTTGTTGTAAATACAGGCGATTCCGCTTAATCGGAACACATTGGGACTAGTACATTTTGTCCTGATTATCCGACTAGTCCAACTATACGAAAATCCACAGAATTTGCAGGATTAGTATTTTTAATATTTTATTTAATAAATTTCACAAAATTAAACAAGTCACAAAACTATACTTAGCATACATATTCAAAAATTGTATATGCATTACATAATAGACATAATATACATTTTGAAACAATAAAATACAAAAATTAATTTATGTATTCTGGAAGAATACATACATTAATTTCATTTGCCTTTCATTTTTGAGAGATTGTAGTTATACAAAATCAGATATGCAGATATCTATTCCTGACATAAAACTCCCGTCATACGCTTATAAATAATGATCTCAAATAGAATTCCCTACTGCAGCGCTAAATATTTACGGAATATTGTCCAGAAAACGCGACGTAATTTTTTTATATCCTCGGTTTTGTCTCCTTTCTTTAGGATTTGTCTCTAATAAGCAGCTGTCCCCATCAACCGATGTTCCAAGCAAGCGGAATCGACTGTAAATATAATTTTTTGTCTTACGTAATCTTTCAGAGAAATTTTGATTCCACATATTTTTAAATTAGTATAAGCTAAGTTGATGTCACATTTTTAAATATTACTAAAAAAAATATTGTAATGGTGAAATGTAATTAACGATATTAAAATGTAAATGGTCCAAGATCCAAAACACAGCAGAAAAATCATTTTGAAAAACAGATATGCAAGAATTCGTGGTTATGAAATATAGATGCCATTGTTTCGGAAACCACATAAGAATTTACATTGCGAAATTAGAAGACTTCAGCAGAAAGTTGCATGTAAATGACTTTCATTTTATGGTATTTGCATATAAGCTAGAACAAGGGTTCCCAAACTGTGCGTCGACTTTATAGCAAAAAAGCGCCTGAAAAAATCTGATAGATAGATAAGTCGTCGCAAATCGAAAAAGTTTGGGGGCCCAAACTGTGCTAGAAGAAAGCGTTACAAAGACATGCTGAAACAATAATATATTTGCCAACCTTTAAAGTACTAATAATATGAAATACTATGAAGCAATTAATAGCATTATGAAAAACTCAAAAAATTGGTAAAGAAATACAAAAGTATTTGAAATCAATGGAAAATGAGTATAGATACAAATAATTAATTTTATAACAAAATATATAAACATTGCGATTATATTTTATTGTTTGTTACTTATTTGTACTTAATGCTATTTTAATTATTGTATAAATAAATTTGTTTTTGTTTTAATTAAATACAAATTTAAAATAAGTTCTTTTTACTATTTCACCGCTTATTATTCATATGCGATCGCTATAATTTAGTAAACATGACTCAGACAGTTGTTCTGTATTTTTTCATAAGAAAAATCGTTCAAATCAATGTTAAGAACATAGGGAAAGTTTTTTTTACATACGTTTTTCCTAAAAAAATGTATTCTTAATAATTTTAAATCTATAACAACAAGCTACATTAAATGAATTGCTGTAATCGCTTTCTATAACTTCTATTTTATATACAACGTATCATTAAAACGGCATTAAGAGATCTTTTACCGGTACACGAACCGCAATAAAATTGAATCTGAGAATTTTACCTGTATATTTACCTATATATTGGCAACAACTCGTACTTCAGTCATTGTCAACTCTACCACCGAAGTGTAAGGAAGCTGAAAACTAACTCATAGCATGGAGGCTAAACACGTACCAGGTTATTTGATCAAAAAAGTACAACGTTTAAATCTTAAAGTACAAAAATTTTCAAACAGAATACAACGTTTTCAACGTAAGAGGCAGGAAATATTTGACCAATCAGGGAGCATATATGAAAAAAGTCAAAAAAGAGTAAAAAACATTAATATAGAGGAAAAAATAAAAAAATGGTCCAAGATCCAAAACAGAACGGAAAAAATGTTTTGGAAAGCAGTAAAGCAGAAATTTTATATTTTGAAATCTACTTGCCATTTTTTCAAAAACGACATGAAATTTTATATTGCAAAATTAGAAGACTTCAGCAGAAAAAAGCACGTAACTGAGTTTCATTTCATGGTATTTGAATATAAGATAGAAGAAAATATGACAGCTATTCAGAACGACATATTGAATCATAATAATATATTTGCTAACCTTCAAAGTACTAATTACTTTGACAGGGTTATCAATAATTATAAAGCTGTGAATAGCATTATGAAAAACTCACAAAAAATGGTTAAAGATATTGAAAGGTTTCTGCAATCAATGAAAAATGAGTTTGGTAACAAATAATTAATTATAAAACAATAAATAGAAATATTGTAATCGTATATTGTAATTGTTTGTAATTAGTAGTACTCTGTTGTATTTTCGCTATTTTATAATGTATTATAAACATTTTTAAATTTGTTTCTGTTTTAATAAATATTTTTTTACTAATTTATCACTTATTTTATATTTTAGCTGCCTATAATGTTATAAACATCAGTAAGAGAGTTGCTCTGAATTTATTTAATAAAAAAACATTCAAATAAATTTCAGAGAAATTTGGATTCTAAATAATTGTAAGTTAAAGCCATATTTCTAAATATTACTAATAATAATATTTATTGTAACGGTGAAACACAAATAAATGAAAATGAATTTCATTGTATAACATCGGTTTTATTTATAATTTATCACAAAAATGGCATTAAAAAGTACATAGTCCAAGATTCAAAACTCAAGAGAAAAATCGAGAATTTTACCAGTATATTTACCTATATATTGACATGAACTCTTACTTCAGTTATTATCAACTCTACCACGGAAGTGTAAGGAAACAGAAAAGTAAATCATACCATGAACGATAGACACGTATCAGGACGCTATTTGATCAAAAAAGTTAAACATTTGAATCTTACAGTGTAAAAAGTTTCAAACAAAATTCAATATTTTCAACGTAAGAAGCAGGAAATATATGTCCAATCAGTGAGCATATATGAAAAGAGTCAAAAAAGAGTAAAGCACATTAATATAGAGAAAAAAAATGAAAAAATGCTCCAAGATCCAATGTTTTGGAAAAGGAGTAAAGCAGAAATTCTATGTTTTGAACTATACTTACTTGAATTAGAAGACTTCAGCAGAAAGATGGTAAACTATATTTGAAAATAAGCTACAACAAAACATAACAGCTATTCACAACGACATATTGAATCATAACGATATATTTGTCAACCTTCAAAGTACTAATTATTTTGATAGGATTATCATTAATGATAAAGTTGTGAAGAGCATTGTGAAAAACTATCAAAAAATGGTTAAGGATATAGAAACGTATCTGCAATCAATGAAAAATGAGTTTGGAAACATATAATTAATTATAAAACAAGAAATAGAAATATTGTGATCATGTTTTACAATTGCTTGTATTCGTACTCTATATTATTTATAAATTTGTTTCTGTTATAAATAAATATATAAAAAATAATTGTAAGGCAGTTGTTCTATCAAGAATTAAATCAATATTGAAAACATAAGAAAATTTATTTCTTACGTATTTATTTCACAAATTTGTATTTTTATGAAATTCAAACTAACATAAGCTAAGTTGATGCTATATTTTCAAATAATTAATAACAGTAATATTTATTATAACAGTTAAATATAAATAAATAAAAATAAATTCATGTATTTATTTTATCTTATATCTGATTTATTTACAATATATTACAAAAAAATTAAATGAATTCAAAAGTATTTTTTCCAAAATTCTAAAATATTTTTTTCCAAGAAATTATACATTATAATTACATAAGATAGCATTTAAACTGATGTAATAGATAGTAGGTAAAATATACCCTGCGCGCGTCTTCATGTAATAAGAATGCGTGCGCGTCCACAAGGGTTAAAAAATATTAAACCTATGTCAAATAATTGTATATTTTTACTTACCTATTTTTATCATAAGTATTATACTTATATTTTAGTTCCAATTTTATGAATATTTTCATCGTTCAACTAGGTAAATATAATATATTTTAGGTTTGAAAGTTATAGAAAATAACATTGTATTTATTTGCTTCTTACGTTAGTCTTAGACATGTGGTTGTAATAAAAAGTTTTTCAATAAAATAAAAATTCAAATATAAAATCTATAAAATAAAATAACTTAAACATGGTACTTTTAGAAAAGTAGCTGTTCCTTTAATAATTATTTATTTAAATGTTGCTCTTAGAGCTGCATGCTCTTCGTTAAGTTAATCATGACTCTCATTAAAAAAAATCCATCTATGTACATAACTATAGTGTGGCTCTTTAAGATATGATAATATATTAAAGTGGCTCTATAATATATGAAAAACCGTATTGCTATCAGGCGTACCAATAATATATATTAAAAATTTCTTTAATTATTATTTATTAATAAGGCAACACAAGTTACAAAATAATTTAAAAATTTGAAAAATAATGAACATTTATTGTTATTATTAAAAATAAGGCTAAAAAAATAATAATTAATTTTTGGTTTCAGAAAAGGTTGAATCAATAAAACTGTCAATAAATTAAACTTTTGTGGATTTATTGTAAGACGTATCAAATTTTTATAAAATTTTACAATCACCGACATACACAACATTAATATGTAAATAAATAAACGTAAGTATTTATTTGCAATGATTCGCCGTCTGATGGACTGTAAAATTTTAAATAAATTTGCAGATATTGCAATCCTCGCAAGCATTACATACGTGTGTCTTAATATCGCGTAAAAGATTACGAGTATACACGAGCATCTTATTGATAGCGCAATCGAAGTCCTCCAGATTCGTATTGTTCGACTCCAAACTAGTTAAAAATTCATCCATGGACATGTTCAAATCCAAATTGATCACATTCAATTCGATATCGTCCAAAATCATTTTTAAATTTAAAATGGGAATGTGCAGCTGCCGCTTCCAATGTCTCAGTAATATTTCTTTGGGATCCATATGGCACTTGGATATCTCGTTTTTGATATTAAACATGTAGGATGTGATATTCGCCTGGATTCCATCCAGAAACCAATTCAGGTCACTCCAAAACTGGTTCTCTTCATCCACTTTGATCCTTCGCCAGACATCGCTCATCCTGCTGCTGAGTATACATCGTCTTCCTATACCCTTCTTTTTACTCAAATACATCATTTTCTTTTTTTCGTAAGATAATCGTATCTTCAAACCCTTATTTCGCTTGTTTCGGTCTTCTCTAAGAACATTATTTACTAAAACGATATGACACAGAAACTTTTCAGTTTTTTCCAGAAAATCATCATGATCGGCGAACATCTTCGCCATTTTTTAATTAACTTATTTTTATACCTGAAAAAACATAAATACTGTATATTTATACTCTACAGGCGATATAAAAAAATATTTATTTACTTACTTATTGATGTGAGTCCATGTGGCAACGGGAATTTTATTCGAAACGTCTTCAAACATCGATAAATAAAAGACGTTTTTCGGTGAACGAATGCACATCACTCCAACTCAAATCCTTATCTCTCAATATCATCCGATCAATTTACTTTTTGAATTCCAACTTTTTATATGAGTACAATAATAAAATATTGTAAATATTAATAATACTAATTTCATGGTTTTCACTGATCTAACGTTGATAACATTGCTAAAGTCATTAATTAAAATTAGATTATTTATACACTTAAAACAGTAGAGATTCTATATCAACAACAAGTGCAATCTCCACGAAGATGCCTTTTTATATTGAAAAATGAAGTTCTTGTATAACTTGATAAAAACTTGATTTTCTTCTTTATATAATCAGCGATGCGATTGTTGTTTTCAAAGTTGTCCAGAAACGTAGACATCGTTATATCCATGCTCAGTTTTCGCAATTTGCTTTTGGCGTAGGCCAAGAGCTCTTCCACGTATTCTCCAATTATGTTCAATTGTTGCATGCAATCTTCTAAGTTATTTTCGTTTCTGGTCATACAATTATATTGCAATTCTCTATCCATTTCTGTCCAATACTCCTTCAGATATATAATTATTTCATTTAAATCTATTAGAAGATTCTGCCAGAATTCACGTTCCTTAAGAATGCTGCGTCTTCTCCAAGTATCGCTGCTTCTATTAATTGTTAAGTCTCGACTGGTCATCCTTTTCTTGATTAGGTATCTGTGTTTCTTCTTCTCGTAATCCAATCTTATTTGCAATCCACGGTTGCGTTCTTTTGTAGTAGTATCTGCTGATTTATACATGATGCATATTTGCGACATAAGCAGATCTGCTTCAAAGTGTAAAAAATTACGTACACTATGAACCCTCATTCTAGTTCAACTACACTGCTACTATACAAATTTTGTTAAACTCTGTAAAAGTGTAGAAAGTAACAAAACAAAACGATTAACTTATAATTGTCTGCACTTGTACGAATATAAAATAAGTTTTATTCCGAGCGGCATAGAATAAAACTTATCACTGGAGCAAAATATTAAAAAAACGATTTATTTTTTATTAGGAATATTATTAATAAAATATGTAAAATTTCAAAAAATATTTCATACCTGTTTTATACATAGATTTAAAAATATTAACACACTGTTTTTCATAATTCAGGAATTAATTCAATTTAATAATAACAATATTTATTATATAATTATCAAAATATTTTCATCCTAATATATTTTTTATTAGATTTCAATATTTTTGTAATATATGATATAGCTTTTATCACATCAAAATAATAAAAAGAATTTAAATTCGTTTATAATTATTGTTATATTGATCCTGAAAATAATTATGAAAGTGACGCTGTATAAACATTTTCACGACATTTTTTTAAATAGCAAAATTATAACAACTATGTCATTGTAACTGAGCATTAAAATTTATTTAATACTAAAATGATAAATGTATTGCTTTGCTATAACTATTATTAAATAATCATATTTTTTTTTTATCTATAAGGGGAAAGTTTACGAATTTGGAGAAACTGAACATTTTTTAATTCTTTTTCTATATTTATAAAAAAAATAAACAAAGTGGAGTGAACAAATGTTACAATATAATTTATTTATTAACTACAATTGAGAACAAAAAATTGTTAAAACATTTGGTTTCTCTGAATAAACCACATTTAGATGTTTTGCATATAAAAAATCATAAATGCTTTTGTTTGATTTTACTTTTATGATATTTATATACTGCATTAATATGGATTTAATCTTAGAAACTAATACATGTTACTTTATACTACTACATGTTATGACTACAACTGTATTTTATTGTTTTTTTTCAATTTTTAGGTCTAATTTATGTGGTCGAAAATTAGCTACATCGATAAATAATTGAAATTGTTATTATTACATTTTATGGGGATTTTAAAAATAATAATAAAATAATAATTTATTGTATAAATACAATATATTCAATAGCAAACAAGTATGAAATGGATATAACCATTTTTTTATTATTAAAACCTAATTTAATATATCTAAATAACTATATTTATAACTAAGAAAAGTAATTAATTAATTTTAAATGTTCATTTTATATTTTGTATATATTATCTATACTAAATATACTATTAATTATTATAAAACAAAACATTTATATACATTTATGTTGCGTGTAATTCCAGTTATATCAATTATATAAAACTGAAATAATATTTATGTTACAAATAATCATTTATTCGTTCCTTTGTCTCCTTAAGAAGTTGCTTGAGAAATAACATAAGATGCTTCGTTTTATCTATGATATAGTCGACGACAATTGTATTATTTTCTAAATAAACCAAAATTTCGGAAATCGACATTAGCAAATTCACTTTGATCACGTTCGCTTTTGTGTGATTCATAATCATGTACAAATAGTTTATCGACAACAACAAATGTTGTATGCAGAAATCGAGCAAAGCATCTAACGGCTCCAAATGACTGCGCCTCTTCATATTAATCATGCCCCGTTTGTAAGAGGTGAACCTTATGGTCATATAGGTCAAATCGAAGCTCACAGATTCCCAATATTCGATTTCCTTGGCAGTTCTCAAACGGCGCCACTTATCGCTCTTCCTCAAATGCTTGATGTCAGGATTCGGTTGTAGCGTTATGTACTCGAGTCTCTTTTTCTCGAATGCCAGTCTAGCATTCAAACCTTGATTTCGCTTCATTGAGATCATCATTATCGAGTCATAGATTCCATCTATACATCTTATAAAAGTGTATAAGTTGGTGTACATAGTGTTCTGGATATGGTATAACCGCATTGCACCTAAAGACACAGGTTTAACAAGTTTTCGATTATTTTCAGCATAAATATTTCTCTGAATGAAATTTTTATTGAAATCTTACAATAAACTGTATTTATATCGTTCAATATAAATAATAATTACTATATATTATATAATACATATATTTTTTGTATTATTCTAATATCTTCACCAGTTTTCCATAATCTTTTCGCATAATTGATTACTTTCTTCAAACACGTCACTATCAATTTGTAGATATTATTTTATTAAGTACAACAGATTTCAGGTAATTTTCACATTTATTATGATTAATAATGAATAGTTATCATTTTATTGTTCCGATTTTCCTAATATCTTTTCATGTTTATTCTAATGACGGAATCTAATGGTCTGATAAAGATGACACAGGAATAAGCAAATCGTGGTATATGAACGAATTGCTTATTGGCTTCGAGCAAGACTGGTTGTTTTCGAAATATTTTAGTAAGAATTCTTCAGAATTTATCAACAAAAAAAAGTGCAGTATATTTACCAAATAAAAAATGTACTATTCGCATTTCATCTTTGCTTAGATTGTAAAAATCGAATACAGAAAATTGAAACATTTCCAATGGGAAAATAAATATTTATAAAAAAACACTTTTATTTATAAATTTGTAAAGGAATGCACAAAATAGTTTTCAAAATAATTTATTATAAAGTTAGTGCAAAACACTCGTTTAAAATACATTTTATATTTAATGCAATACTATAAAATACTAATTTCAAATTTAACTTCTGTTGAATTAATATGCATAATACAGAACAGCTTACAAAATATTAAAACTATCAACACAGAAGATATTTTTTTTAAATATTTTATCATCTTCTAATAATTGATTAAATTCCTTTGTAGATTTAATCATATCAATAATTTTAAACTTACAGAATTTAAATATTTTATCATTGACATTCAAATTCTCGATGAACTTGAAGACGTGTTTGTATTGTTCAAATTTTTTAAGTTTCGTTTGTACACACATTGTTATTTCTTTCACATTCGACATTTCATTCTTAATATGGAACAAATAAACCTGCAAAGATACGGATCTCAGTATATCATGAGTTTCTAATACATGTTTTTTTAAAAATATGCTGATATTGCAAAACAACGATAATATCAATTTCATTTCTCTGATGATATCCTTAAGGTATTCCACTTCCAAAATATGTGTTTGCTTAATCCACGTGCTTTGTCGAATTTTGGTATAATTATTTAGGCTTGGTCCTTTTCTGGCGTTTAACGTAGTTCTCATCCATTTCTCACGATAAGTCTCGTACTTCTTTCTTGACTTTCTATATTGTTTAAGTCTATTCTGCAAGTTACTCATTACTTGGATAGCTTGTGATATATTTTCGAACAACATAATTATTATATTGATAAACAGTTTAAAAGAAATATTATTTAAATAATTGATTTAAAATTAAGAGTTGTTGTTCACGTTAAATGTCTGTATAGTATGAGGATTTCTATTTATCAAGAATACTTTTTTTTTCACAAATTGATAAATATATTTTATTTATCCACAAACTTGAAAAAAAAAATCTATATTTATTAATACTGGATTTGTAGTGAGAAACGACTAATAACATTCATAATTAACTGACTTAAAAATAACCGGTTTAAATCGATTTTCAAATTTTCACAAAAAAAAATAAAGAAAAGGGATTTTCACAACTTATTTTCTATTGCTCACACGGTTCTATTGCATATTCAAAAATGGGTTAAATTGTCTTTAGAGCATTAAATAATGAAATAAATTATTTATTTTTCTCTTTGTACTCTCTAATATTAAAAGTTACTTTATTATTAGATTGGGACAGGACAAAGTGACATCTTCCGGTTCATAAAGATATTTATGAATTGATTGTTTCAAAGCAAACTATGATTTGTTTTTCATGGTCGCCGTTTTTTTATCATCGCAGTCATTTAATAATTTGATACAATCTTGATAATATTTGTATAAAAAACTTAATGATATATCTTTTTGAAGCTAGTGAAAGAAATAAATTTGTCTAAACTGTGGATTTTGTAAATTAACAAAAATCCTTATTAAACCACGTTATAGAGATTTTATGTCAATATACTTATGTTTTTAATCAAATAATTCATTAATTATTATATTTTAAGTCTAAGCTCAAATTTCATTTTTTATTGTTATTTGACTTCTGTTAAGGCATAATAACACATAACATTGATATTTATAATTCTTATTTAATAAATACAAAAATCAAGAAAATTTAAATATTTAGGAAAATATATTTTTCTACAACTAGTACTTTATAAAAGTGTATGTTAGTATCAAAATATTGTACGTGACACAAACATGCATATATATTTCAACATCCGTTTAAAGTACATATATTAAGCGTGCAGTAATTTGTATATGCATTATGTACGTAGAGTGAGTACTGATTGTATTGTGTTTTCATAAATAAATATATTTTTTAATTTAATATAAGTCAACAATATTGTATAACATTTTTGTTGCAGCGTACATTTCTAAACAATTGATGATTACTTGTGATGTAGTGTATATAATTGTGTGCTGATTTGTTGCAGTTTCATGACAATAACAATATATTAGTAAGCAAACAACGGGAAGGCTATGGTCGGGCAAGCTATTGATTCTCAACACATGGGCCAATTTGGAAGATATATGCCTTCATTATGGCGATACACTACTTCAATTGAGGTCAAAAGGTAGGCCATTGGGGGCCTCCATCATACAGATACCCGGCAACACACAACCCCGAAATTTATATTTAGTGCGGGCCGTTGGAATTAACACTGCGTTTACATTTTATGAGTTTAGCGAGGGTGGATGAAGAGACAGGAACTCTGAGCGTTTAACGAGCCCAATGAAAATTATTTATGTTCAAATTTATTTATTCATTATGAAATTTTCAGACAGTTTACAATGTGAAATGAAGGTCAAAAAGGAAGTTTCCTCAAATCTTCCTCCCAAACTGAAAAAAGAAAATAGCAGTAAGCCTTCGTCCCAACGCCATCAGAACTTCGTCAATAAAAAAATACGAAAGAAAGAACATTTGGAATAATCCTAGGGATGTTTCAGCGTTTCTCTTCTGCGGACGACTTGAGATAAAGGTGGCAAACAATCCA